AGATTGGACGGAACTTGATAAAATCTTTCACTTTGGTCGCCAGTTCCTTTGACAGATCAGTTTTTGTTTCATCAAATAAATCTTTCAAATGCTCAGGAACGTTGCCTTTCTCATATGAATTAACAAGGGATCTGGCCATTATGGGTCTTCCACCATCCTGAAACTTAGCATAGGGTTCAATCAATAAAGGCATCTGTGGAAGTTTTGGTAGGTCCAACACTTACGCGGGCATACCATTTCACTTCTGGGAGGAATAGATATGGATTTACATAGACTCACGCGAAATCAACCGATATTTCCTTAGAGTTCTAATTCATGTTCTACTCCATGAACATGCATCTTGGTCTTGCAAACATCGACAAGACATTGGTTTGTTTGTAAGAAATCTAATCTTATGATACCATCTCCTTTGATGTTTGCTATTACTGCCTGTGTTTTAAATTCTTGAGAACCAAGTTTAATGTAGAGTAATTCTTTTCCCAGAACATTAAGAGGAGTAACATCATCACCAACGATTCTCTTTGTAACAGGTGAAAGTCCATTTTTCCAGGTCTTTTCTAATTTAGCATACAAATGATCTGATAAAATAGTAAGAGTTGCCCCGGTGTCTAACAATAAATTACACCAAGTTCCATTTACCATCGCCTTAATAAGCAACCCAGATTCTTGGACTTCTTGGTCAACCTTTATGAAGTTTTTTTGTGCTTGAAACTAACGAACCATTTTTCTTCTGTGAATCTGCATTTTCCTTCAGACTGGTCGAATTCTTCAAGTATGTTTTTCGCATCTTAGATTCACCTGACTGTTTTTCACAAAACAATCTTTCATCATATGACCTTTTCTTCCGCAATTGTGGAATTTAAAAACAAAACGTGCCTTGCTTGCTTAAAGAAGTTGACGCCTGTATTTTATTCCTCAATTGTCTTAGTTCTTCCCTAAAAATTGAGTCTTGTTGAGCATCAGTTGTTACTTGATTATTGCTTGTGTTTCTGACATATCCACCGTCTCCTCTTTTCTGGCGCTCTGCTCTACAGAAGGCCTCTATTTCCACGGCGAAGCGTACAGCATCATTTAATGACTTTGAATGCGAAGGCGCATATTAAAATCAGCCAGTGCGTCTACAAATTGATCCTTGACTATCATCTCGGTAACTTCTCTGGGTGCCATTGGATAAGCGAGATGTGCCAATAGTCGAATGCTTTCACCAAGTTCTGGCAAAGATTCACTAGGCTATTAACGTTTTTCTCTCAGCATAGCTCGATAGAGATCAGTTTGATTTGCAGGTACGAATCTTGAATCTTATGCGTCACACAGCTCCATATAGGTTCTATTTGCAACTGGTCGCATAATACCAAGGACAGTTTAAACATGTCCTCTTAAAGAGACTGCAAAATACAAACTTTCTGTTGAGGGTTACATGAGTTGATAGCGCTACATGCTTCGAAATGGGCTTTACAATCGATCCATGACCTCGACCCATTATTATATGTTGCAGGTTTTATTACTGTTTTGGCCTATGAATAGTACTAATTGGCCGTGCATCTGAAATGTTTTTGCTCAAATCAAGAGTAGATAGGTGCCTGCGCTGGATTCTGTTGTTTGATCATGTAACTGTGGAGGAAGTTGATGACGATACCGCACACCTCAGTATTATTGAAGGAAGGGTTTGGTGTCAAATGTGTCTCGGTAAATACTGGATGACTTATCACATACCAAACCGCCGCAGCGTATTTTCTGTATCCCTCTGTAAGGTTCTATTTACGGTCTGCTTATCTTTGTACAATGTATAACCAGGCTCCGGATACCGCATACATGCATCCAAGAGCATGTCCTCCGCTGCTTGGTGTTCTGTAATTTGATTCATCTAAAATGTTGTCTGGGTTTTTGTACTTAACATCTACTCCGGAATCTGGTACCACTGAAGATTTGGTAATCCGAGATGTAGATTGTAATTTTCTATTTCTCTTCTGAGCTTTTACCTTCTGGCATCTATAGCACTGAGGTCAGCTAACAATTCATCCCTTCCATCACTCATTCTGGTATAATTTGTTATATGTACCTGGTTTTCTCTTCCCCGGTAATCTATAATTGCACCAGGTTATGTACTTGGTAAACTTTACCGAGGCATATGTACAATGCCAAAGCCATAGTAAGTCTGACATATATACACGGTAAAATATACAAAATTTCTGAACTTAGTGAATCTAAAATGCACCTGGGAAAATAAAATGAACAGAAGTACAATACTACTGTAGTTCAAAGCTTTGTTCAAGGGTTGTTCGAAAAGTTCGTGGACTTATGTTATATCTTTTTTATTTAACGTAAAATGCTATCCATTTGGTAAAAAAAAATTAACATTAAAATTCAAATGATTTGTCTTACACGAACAATATGTTTCGTATTTGAATATTTTACTTGAAAAAGACGTTAGTGGTAATCTAACAACCAAGCACTATGATAAACGTAATGACTTTAACTTTTCTATTGTCCACTTCCCTTACTTATGCAGCAATGTACCTTCATCACCTGCATACGGAGTCTATATATCTCATTAATTCGATACGCATGAGCATGATCTACGTATGGACAACTTCTGAAACGAGGTAAATTATTGACAAACAAGTTGATGAAACAAGACTTTCAGCAGTCTAATTTAAAGACATAATTTCGTAAGTTCTATGGTCGACACAATGACCTTGTCAGCAATACGATTTATCACTGAGTCAAATGCTGACTGACGTTTTTTATACTAATTGTTAATTTGATATTTACACTGAATTGACGACGGATTTTTTCGTTATTTCCCAATCATGACAAAGAACACACAGCAGGCACCTGACCCCACCTCTGATGTTTTGCAGGTCCGTGTTTGCTCTGCTCCTATTTTGTATTGTTTTATGGACTCTTGATCTTGAATACTGTTCCTTATCTCCATACGTTTCATTAAAAACTATTATCTTTAAGATTTATTTCAAACCTATCCAGAATTTAAAGAAATGCAAAAATCGGACCGCGGAGCAGGACAAAATTTAGTAATTCACAAACAACACTCTAAATAAAATGATAATGTTTGTAGTCAAATTCTCTGTAAAATGGAACAAAAACGAAAATAAATCCCACACTTTTTAATTAACTATATTTTGTCTCCCGCTTTCATTGAAAGTTAAAGATATCAATTTGGACTCTGTCAATCCGTCTGCATTCCTATCTGTCCAACACATTCGTTTCGATAACCCTTTGACCCTTTGTAGTGAAATTTATAACAACTCCCTATGGAGCAAGGGAAATGCCTAATTACTTTTAGGTCAAAAGTCAAGGTCATAAATTTAATAAATTCTTTCTGTTTTAACACCTTTGTTTCCGCACGATATCTCGAGAACCTGGGATGTGCGATTTTATGGGTATAGGCCCTTAGCTACCAGTACGTCGTGATTGTTTACTGCTTGATATGTATACATTGTACCGTGATATGGAGACCAAAAACTGCTGGTATTTAGTATGTCATACTTTCCAGAAATGATTAATAATCATTTTGTTCAAACTCTTCAACTACAATTACATTTTTATACCTAATAAAATTGTAAATGTCAAGTTACATTTTCACACTCTTAGTCTATTTGTTAGAAAAAATCAAGGACATTTACTTAAAATCATAGTTAAAATTACGTGTAAAAACAATCTGATTAAAATCAGATCCTTTGATCCACTCACACTGATCGCTACACAAGGTAGCGATCTTTATGTGAGCGGATCAAAGGATCTGATTTTAATCAGACTGGTGTAAAAATATCAAGATATTATCGAAACCTTGGAAGGAGAATCGTGATACCGGGTATTTCGCGATACAACACTTTTATAACACCGCTCCGAAGGAGAGGGGGGATACTGTTTTACCTTTGTGTGTCTGTCCGTCTGTCTGTGTGTCTGTCCTTAACAATATTTTGGTCGAATTTTTCTAAGCAACTACTCATCGCAGATTCTTGAAATTTTTACACAATCTTCTCTGAGGAATGCCATATGATGAGATTTAATATTTGTTCAAATCCGATGTCAACTTCTTGTTTATCTGTGCGTCTGTCCGTTTCATACATAACAATTTTTCGTCACAGTTTTCTCAGCAACTCCTCATCGCAGTTGCTTGAAATTTTAACAGTCTTCTCATAGGCATGCCATATGATGGGATTCACTTTTGTTCAAATCTGATATCAACTTCCAGTTTGTCTGTGGGTTTGTTCGTTTCATGCATGTTTCATACATAACAAATTTCGTCGCAGTTTTCTAAGCAACTGCTCATCGCAGATGCTTGAAATTTTAACACAATCTTCTCATAGGCATGCCATTTACTTAGTTATTTTTGTTGAAATCTGATGTCCACTTCCTGTTTATCTGTGGGTCTGTCCTTTTCATACATAACAAATTTCGTTGCAGTATTCTAAGCAACTTCTCATCGCAGGTGCTTGAAATTTTAACACAGTCTTCTCTGAGGCATTCCATATGACGGGATTCATTTTTGTCGAAATCTGATGTCAACATCCTGTTTGTCTGTGGGTTTATCCGTTTCATACATATCAATGTTTTGTGAAAGTTTCCTCAGCAACTACTCATCGTACATGCTTGAAAATTTAGTACGTACTTTGTTGAGGCATGCAGTATGTTGGGATTTATTTTCATATGAATCTGGTCAACTTCCTATTTATCCATGCATCTACTAATAACTGATCTTATGTTTATAAACATGATATTGTACATTCACATCAGAGCAGGAGTATTACTAGTGAGCATTGGCTCACAGACTTCTTGTGAAGATTCAAAAGCGGGGAACATAAATTATAAAGTCTGGTCAGATGTGTGTCTGGGTTAGTGCACTAAAATCAGTGTTCAAACTACTCAACCATGAAATGTACGATGTCATGAAAGGAAAGTTGAAAATGGTGTATTACACAGGATTTTCTTTAAACGTTTATATTTCAAAGAAGGTGCAAAAGAATAATACAGTCAAAATGATTTAAACATTCATTTCTTTCTCTCATTAACTGATCATACAAAATCGTCATAGACAGCTATAACGTACTGATATTCCTTTGCATCTTTACAAGCTGTCAAAAATCATTAAATTTATGAATATTCATAACTATTTTTCATACGGTTGAATCTATTTAATTGTCAAGGTCTGCAACTACTGCACAACTGAATAACCTTGCCAACTTCAGACAAACTAAAATTATACCTTCATGTTTAATAAAGAATACCAGTAACATGTAAATATTTCAAATGCCCTTTCAATTATATTATTGCGATTGTAATGAACAAACTTGTGTTAAATTTCATAAGTATTCATATACTTTGCTCTTTTATAAATAATCATTGTAATCTACAGTAAATAATTTTGTCTCTCTACATATTTTTTCCTGTCAAACATGAACTGTTTTATGTCTACTGGCTAACTCCTCAAAGTAACGAAGTCTCTTGGAATTCACATGATGCACAAACTGTTCTATCCGTGCTTCCCTATGTTTGGCGTATTGTAAGACAAGGTCTGACACAGAGTTTTTGGATTGGTCTGTGGATTCACACTCGGATAACACACAGTTATAGTCCGATTCCCTCTGTTTTCTTTCTCTGTCACACAGATCTGACTCTATAGCACGCTGAAAAATCAACCATAAAATTGTCATTTAATCTGTGAATTCTATATATCTAAAATATATATTTAATATGCATATCTCGATCTAAGATATAAGCACATCAACAAAATATGTTTAATACAGAAAATTCATGAAGATGAATCAATGTTTAAAACTAATTTAAAGACATTGGAGGTTTTCAATTTTAATATAGTAAAACACTGTTATAGCAAACATGTTTACAATGAATTAATGGCAAAGTTATTTTTATTCATAGTGACTTTATTATTAAATTACCTTGACGGATATAACAAACTGCACCTATTACGAAACGTTACAGTTTTTCCCTAGCATTTATTTAAGAGCGTGCTTTGCCATGTTTACTGTAGTGAAATCTCTTATGAATATTCTCTAGAATAAAACTTAAATTATTAAGACCTTGGAAAGAGTATTGACGTACCTTAATTACTGGATAGTTTCTTTGATAATGAAGAATAGCACCATATAAATGCCATATACTGAATTCTGGCCATAAAACATCAACAAAGGAAAGACAACTATAACTGGTCTAAAAGAAAAAAGCACTTTCAGTAGCATGGGGAATAACCGCTGCTCCTTAATATAAGCCTACATCCAAATTTTATGAAACATATGTAGCAATTTAAAAATTAAATGTTTAATTGTAACTTTAAGAAAGGACATATCCTGTCCCCTAACATGTAACATACTTGCCACAGGAGGAAATCACTCAGTCTGACTTCTCCTGAGGTTCTTATGAGGAGATCAGGGTTAGGGGACTGACATGTTAACTGATCTGCCAGAGGAGGAAATCACTCAGTCTGACTTCTCCTGAGGTTCTAATGAGCAGATCAGGGTTAGGGGACTGAGACGTTAACTGACCTGCCAGAGGAGGAAATCACTCAGTCTGACTTCTCCTGAGGTCCTAATGAGGAAATCACTCAGTCTGACTTCTCCTGAGGTTCTAATGAGGAGATCAGGGTTAGGGGACTGACATGTTAACTGACCTGCCAGAGAAGGAAATCACTCAGTCTGACTTCTCCTGAGGTTCTAATGAGGAGATCAGGGTTAGGGGACTGAGACGTAAACAAACACTTCTCCATCAGGTCTTCTGAAATATCACTGTAAACAGAAAAATATATAGCTGATTATCAATGTAAACAAAGGAATATACAGCGTTAAATATCACTGTAAACAGAGAAATATACAGCTGATTATCACTGTAAACAGAGAAATATACAGCATTAAATATCACTGTAAACAGAGAAATATACAGCATTAAATATCAATGTAAACAGAGAAATATATAGCTGATTATCAATGTAAACAGAGAAATACATAGCTGATTATCAATGTAAACAGAGAAATATATAGCATTAAATATCAGTGTAAACAAAGGAATATACAGCATTAAATATCACTGTAAACAAAGAAATATACAGCTGATTATCACTGTAAACAGAGAAATATATAGCTGATTATCACTGTAAACAAAGGAATATACAGCATTATATATCAGTGTAAACAATGGAATATACAGCATTATATATCAGTGTAAACAAAGGAATATACAGCATTAAATATCAGTGTAAACAAAGAAATATACATCAGTGAATATCGTTGTAAACAAAGAAATTAACAGCACTGAATATCACTGTTAATAGAGAAACATGCATCATTGAATATCACTGTAAACAAATAGATTTGTTATACCCTTATACATAGTTTTCTATATATTTCTTACTAAAAAAAAACTCTAACAAAAGAAATGTTTTTTACATTGCTCTAACAATTTCACTGTTGACTGGCCTGCCAGTCCAACATAAGAATTGTTTGACCGCAATGTCACTGCTACATCACAAGTAATTAATTATCCTTAATATCGGCGACACGGAAATAGCCTAAGTTAAGAGCTGCAAGAGTTGTTGCTACCAGCAAGGTAAGGAAGAAGGGAAGAATATGTTTTGTGAAAAATAATTTTTGTGATATAATAAAAATATAATTGATTTCTCAGCTATTGTTTTATATTTACTGATTAAGCCATAATTTTCCATATAAAGTAATTGATAATATAGTGTGTATTAATTAAGTACTGAAGGGTAAAAAAACAGTTATAGACTGGGATTTGGGCAACAAATGATTTGTTGGACCTGAAGGTGAAAATGCAACATTTTCAGCTTCAGGTCCAACAAATCATATGTTGCCCTCATACCCAGTCAATAACTGTATAATATTGCATTTAATATCTTTGTATACAGAGAAATATTCAGCATTTAATATCACTATAAAGATAAGAACATATGTATCATTGGAAACAAAAGAACATACAGTAAAACTTGTTTAGTAAGAACACAGACATTGTGAATTCATGGTTATAGCGAAGTTATCTTGGATACCCAGCTACATAAATTTAATTAATTCCTTATACAGATATTATACATTTATTGCATGATAGTGAGGGAAATATGAAGACTTATTCAGCCAAGAAAAATCATATTCCCCGAGGGCTTCATGATATTTCTTGGCTGAATAAGTCGTCATGTTTCCCAAACATTCATGCAATGAATTGTTTATTATACCGAAACAAGCAAAACCTTTAAAATAAACATAAACTTTCCAATTCGGCACCGCTCTCAAATTCACTTTCATTTTTTACGTAAAGTTACTATAAAACCCTTTGATCAACACATTATCATCAGTTTTGTGACGTAAACCAGGCCGTTGTGACAACTACTTCTCTCAGGAGTTTTCGTACAACGAACGAGAACTATATTGCGAGAAAATACACTAGGTGTTCCGAAGAGGTGGAATAGGATGAAAAGCGTGCCGACGGCCGGGAAATAAGAAGTTTTATGGCCCGATCACGTGACAACTTAGAACCAATCAGATAACGCATTGTTTAGAATATTTATAATGAGGTATAATAAAACAAATTATGGATATAGCGAAGTAATATCACGGGTCCCAGAGACTTCGTTATAACTGAGTTTTACTGTATTGATCAATGAAAATTGATGTAAAAATTTGCAAGATTCAACCATGCATGTCATGAGTTACCTCTCTTTGATGAGGCCGAGCTGAACACCTTCTGCCATTTCACGCATGGCTGCACATATTTCATCACGAGAAGTGTAGGCAAAACACACATTCAGCACAGCCCTAATTAATATAGATTTTACAGGAAAATTAATATAGTAATACATGTAAATCTAGTGGGTCATTTGAAAATATTTTATTGTCTTACATTTAATCAAAAGGATTCTTTCAACTTAGTGAAGCCTTTCCTTGTATAACACACAATGATAACAATAATTTTTATAAGAGGCAGTTCCCTATATCTAGTGCTGTTACATTATGGAATGTATTTTAAGATTATAAGAGCAGAGTATTGATCGCCAGATACAAGATTCTTAAACATCTCTGAAAATCAATGAAAATATCAATGATTAATACTGCAAACAATATTCAAAGCCATATACAGTGTATTGACTTTAATCACTATAATTCAATAGTATATATGCTAGATAAGTACTATAAATGTTATTTAAATTCAAATCCATAAACTGTGAATGATATAGAAGAATTTCATAATCTAATCATTTAACATATTTTAATTAAGGATTTGTTGTCTCATCTATATATAAATTTTTAAATTATATCTTTTATCTACAGGAAAACCACAGTAAATTCTGCCTAATGTAAACACTTTGATACTAGGATTTAGATTAAAACCTCCTTAACAGTTGAAGGTTAATTACCATATTTATGAGAAAGATAATTAATCTCCAAAGATATGAAAAGTTCACATCCTCTTCAAAAATAAATGTTAAGTGTTTTTTATTTAAAAACTTGTATTTCACATGTTTTATATTCAAGGATTATGTGGCCTCCATTATTGATTGATGAAATGTCTAATTTGCTTACTGGTCAAACCACAGATAGGTTAAATAGTACTGCTCAGCTTCACATTTATCTTTTATTGTCAGTTATAGATATACCTTGACTTACTACCTTTTATTGTCCTTGGAGAAGTGAACACATTCTGCGATCTGCTGCTGGATATCCAAAGGCAACAGAGTCAGGTTACCAAGGACACGGACACACACCTGATGTTTCTGGATCAGCTCCCTGTAAATTTCATGTGTTTATTATTCTTTATACTGTAAGTGAAGATTTTAATTCTAAATCAATGAATTTACGGTTTAAGTGTATGAAAAACGAGAAACAATACAAGATGTGTTTCTAAAACACTATGCCCCTGATGGTTACACAATGCTGGGGGGGACGTAGACTGAAGTGGCATACACTTACCCTTACCAACAGGCAGACTGGACAGAAACAATATACCCTTGGGATCTTTTGATCCAGGGACATAATAAATTCATTAAAATGAATGTGTTTCTGTTCTTGTCTAGTACAATATTTTCATCAAGGTTCTTACATGCATTTACTAAATTCTTTTACAAACAAGAGGCCCATGGGCCACATCGCTCACCTGAGAAGCTTTGACCATTCTGTTCTATACCAGATTTCCTCCGTGTAATACATAATGCATCCCCAACCTACCCCACTGATCATAATTTAGACATTTTGAAATCTACACTACCCCAGGATCCTTCTACATAAGTTTCAGCTTTTCTGGCCCAGTGGTTCTTGAGAAGAAGATTTTCAAAGATTTTTCCTATATATTTCTATGTAAAACTTTGATTCCCCATTGTTGCCCCGCCCTTCCCCCGGGGACCATTATTTGAACAATTTAGAATCTACACTACCCCAGGATGCTTCCACATAAGTTTCAGCTTTTCTGGCCCAGTGGTTCTTGAGAAGAAGATTTTCAAAGATTTTCCCTATATATTTCTATGTAAAACTTTGATTCCCCATTGTGGCCCCACCCTTCCCCCGGGGGTCATGATTTGAACAATTTAGAATCTACACTACCCCAGGATGCTTCCACATAAGTTTCAGCTTTTCTGGCCCAGTGGTTCTTGAGAAGAAGATTTTCAAAGATTTTTCCTATAAATTTCTATGTAAAACTTTGATTCCCCATTGTGGCCCCGCCCTTCCCCCAGAGGTCATGATTTGAACAATTTAGAATCTACATTATCCTGAGATGCTTCCATATAAGTTTCAGCTTTTCTGGCCCAGTGGTTCTTGAGAAGAAGATTTTCAAAGATTTTTCCTATAAATTTCTATGTAAAACTTTGATTCCCCATTGTGGCCCCGCTCTTCCCCCAGGGGTCATTATTTGAACAATTTAGAATCTACACTACCCCAGGATGCTTTCACATAAGTTTCAGCTTTTCTGGCCCAGTAGTTCTTGAGAAGATTTTCAAAGATTTTTCCTATAAATTTCTATGTAAAACTTTGATTCCCCATTGTGGCCCCGCCCTTCCCCCGGGGGTCATGATTTGAACAATTTAGAATCTACACTACCCCAGGATGCTTCCACATAAGTTTCAGCTTTTCTGGCCCAGTAGTTCTTGAGAAGAAGATTTTCAAAGATTTTTCCTATAAATTTCTATGTAAAACTTTGATTCCCCATTGTGGCCCCGCCCTTCCCCCGGGGGTCATGATTTGAACAATTTAGAATCTACACTACCCCAGGATGCTTCCACATAAGTTTCAGCTTTTCTGGCCCAGTGGTTCTTGAGAAGAAGATTTTCAAAGATTTTTCCTATATATTTCTATGTAAAACTTTGATTCCCCATTGTGGCCCCGCCCTTCCCCCAGAGGTCATGATTTGAACAATTTAGAATCTACATTATCCTGAGATGCTTTCACATAAGTTTCAGCTTTTCTGGCCCAGTGGTTCTTGAGAAGAAGATTTTCAAAGATTTTCCCTATATATTTCTATGTAAAACTTTGATTCCCCATTGTAGCCCCGCCCTTCCCCCGGGGGTCATGCTTTGAACAATTTAGAATCTACACTACCCCAGAATGCTTCCACATAAGTTTCAGCTTTTCTGGCCCAATAGTTCTTGAAAAGAAGATTTTCAAAGATTTTTCCTATAAATTTCTATGTAAAAGTTTGATTCCCCACTGTGGCCCCGCCCTTCCCCTGGGGGTCATGATTTGAACAATTTAGAATTTACACTATACCAGGATGCTTCCATATAAGTTTCAGCTTTTCTGGCCTAGTGGTTCTTGAGAAGAAGATTTTTTAATGACCCCACCCTATTTTTATCTTTTCTTGATTATCTCCCCTTGTGAGGGGACTTGGCCCTTTAATTTAACAATTTAAATTCCCCTTTACCCAAGGATGCTTTGTACCACGTTTGGTCAAAATTGGCCCAGTGGTTCTTGAGAAGAAGTCGAAAATGTGAAAAGTTTACAGACGGACAGACAGACGGACAGACAGACGGACGGACGGACGACGGACAATATGTGATCAGAAAAGCTCACTTGAGCCTTCGGCTCAGGTGAGCTAAAAAAGTCTCAACTTTTATGTATGTTAACAACATCACTCTTGTAAAATAATTACAAACAGGTTATCTTAAAATATTGTAAGAAAACTTCCTTGGTATTTCATTTTCTAGCTATTCAGCCTTCTTCAATGTACATGATGAAGTGTCAAAAAACAGTACTGTATTTTGTATACAATCAAACCTGTATTAAGCAGTCACCTATGGGAACCATTAAAAGCTACCTTTATACTGAGGTGACCTTTAAATAGAGGTTAAAGCACAGTAAATGTTTCAAGGTAGATAACTTACTTTTCCTGCATCAAGCGGGTAAATTTTTGCCTGGCAAGTTCCATCAAACAGTCCACCTCATCTTTTGACCGCTTGAAGTTTTCTATACTGAAGGCATACACAGTTACTTCTGTTATTCCTATGTCAAGACACCACTCTAAGGTCTGAAAGAAGAGGAATAAAAGTGAATACACTGTATTACTGGAATATGTATTTTTTTAATTAATAAAGAATGAGTAACTCACCAGTGACATTTTTAAAATTACTGACCTCTGACAATTAATTGAATCACTGACCTCTACCATTTGATTTAACCACTGACATTTGATTGAACCACTGACTTCAATCTGACATTTGATTGAACAACTGACCACTAACACTACATTGAACCACTAACCTCTCTCATTTGATTGAACCACTGACCTCTGACATTTTATCAAATCACTTACTAGTGACAGTTTATTGAATCAATGACCTCTGAAATTTAATTGAATCACTGACTTCTGACATTTGATTGAATCACTGACCTCTGACATCTGATTGAATCACTGACCTCTGCAATTTTATTAAGCCACTGACCTCTGACAGTTTAATGAACCACTGACCTCTGACATTTGATTGAATCACTGACCTCTGACATTTGATTGAACTAATGACCTCTGACATTTGATTGAATCACTGACTACTGACAATTGATTGAACTACTGACCTCTGAAATTTGATTGAACCACTGACCTCTGACAGTTTATCGAATCCCTTGAAGTGACCTTCGGCCCTCTCTATGTGGTTCTTGACAGCGAACCTCCTATTGCCGTCCATGATGAAGGCCACATGTCTGGGTATGGGGCCGGTCCTGAGGATCCTCTGACACACCCTGTGTACCCAGCTCTGTCCTGACTTCTTCTCCGGGAACCAAGACATACCACTCTGCCTGCAATCAACATCATTTTATTATTAATCAAACCACTGACCACTGGAAACCATGACAGAGTAAGTCAGCATTACTATGCATTTATATACAAGTACACATAAAATATACATTATCTCATAAAAATGATTACAAAAGATCTAAGTTATGTAGCAAAACCGTGGATGATGTGAAGGCAAAGACGCTTCTCACAGTAACCTTTTCTTAATATTCCTTTAATTTAAAAAAAGAATTCCTGAAGTATGGGAAATTTAATGATACATAAGAGTAACTTATACATTTGTGTAGATTTTATGAATGTGTTATTTGCTTTAGTATCAGGAAACAATATGAGACTATGGAATATGTTGATTGTTCGACGCTTTGTAATATGTTCAAAAAGTTCTATAAATTAGGGCCTAATTTATGAAAATCTCATGACCATGATGACCATGATGACAGGGACAAAGGATTTTTAATATATTCGATCAGTGCATACTATTAGTTCAAGATATATTACTGTAGTCAGCGGCGTCTCACACAAATTGTTCCGACGAAAATAGTTCCATCATTAATAAGTAGATACAATATAATTGTTCATGATAAGAATAATGTTGTGTATGTCATTCGTTAAAGAAACCAAAATTAATGTTAATTTTTCCTCCAAAGATCACTTTCCCCCCTAAATGCAAATAAAAAATGTGAATATTCCTACGCTCGCTCCCTCCTCAGCTTTTTTTTTTAACATGTTTGATAACGGAGAATATCTAGGTCATTCTTCGGTTGATATTTTTTCATTGATGAATTGATTATACTATATCAACAACTGTAGTAAAATCATGTTAATTGTTAGTTAATTATCATATAGTTTCCTCTAAGAGAAAAAAATAATCATTCTGTGTGTGTAGTATATTAACTGACGGAATTTTCAATCCCTGAGCAGACTCCTGCACGTGTGTAGACAAACTACACATCGGGAGAGTACCTGTAAAATGTGCAACAAAACCCGAACTGGCCGGGGATTTCTAAACTGACAATCGTTTAATTTTTATGAATCAGAATTTGTATGAAAAAAAAGTTCTGTCTGCCATCGTAACTTCTCTGTTCGCGGGTGTCCGTTTGACAACTCCATCGCACGTGTGTATAGACCAAGGCTAACTGTCTTGCGGACATAGGTATGTGTACTGTTTGTTAGCATGGTTAGGAGACGGGTGACCGTAATGCTATGGACTCACGAAATTTACACAAGTTCTATAACTAGACAGTGCAGTTTTATTTTTATAAATGTCATTAAACACTGTTAAACATATTAAATCTAAAAGTCTAATATCTTTGGATATGGGGTAACCCATATCTATTCTTGTTAAAATTGCACATTTATTAACTTTTTCAACAGGAATAGGTGATAATTGTAAACATTATTGATTATTTATTTCTTTCAAAATCTGTATAAGAAAAGGCAAGCAGGTGGAAATGTAAATTTGTTAGGTCCTAATGATATCATGCATTATATCTACAGAGATGGAGTAGAACTCAAAGGAATATTTCATACAGGCCCCTATGATGAACTGAACAAATGTTTTATATTAAACAACGAAAAAATATATTCCACAGTTGTCATCTCTAATAATAATTAGGGGACATATATCTACGTGAGGTTTCATCATATTTCATATGCTCTGACACTTATCAGCACTTTATGTCTACTTCTAAATCTACGAAATTTTCGTAACTTCATCAATGTAGTTCGAATTTCATGCCTTGACAGGTGTATATTTTTACCTGAATGTTATTTGTACTTACGATCGACACAGGTGAATCACTTTTACAACTCTAAAATGCCTTTTAGTCTCATTCTTCCTTTACCAACAGGATTGACATTATCTAGGTCAACTACACGTGTGCAACGAAAATGTCTATCCTTCCGCTTAAAAATATAGTGCATAACCTGCTTGCTTTTCATAATTACAGCAATAAAAAATAAACTAAAGTTAAAAATGGAGTTTGTTTACATCTGTTATTCATATTTAGTACAATCTTTTGATAATTTTGTGAAGATAAACAATTTTTTTATTCATCCGCGGTCATTCAACCGCGTTTACGCGAAGTGTTTGCCTATGGAAGAAAAACAAATCGAAAATGGCGTCTTCAATACTTTGCGTTCACACGAGTTTCTTGATTGGAATTTTAACTTGATTTAGCTTACGTCACAGACATTCAAGATGCCAGGTCATACACCTGGATCTTCAACCTCTTCGTCAGTAACAGAAGGTAAGAACTTTTTACTGATTTCGACGCGAAAAAGCCCGATAAACCGAAGCGATGAACAACCTCAGTTTGTCCATTTTCTGTTTCAGAGCTGTATTTTCTCATCGCCCGGTTTCTCGCCCAAGGGCCTTGCCGTGGTGCTGCAGAGGTATTTTAAGTCCCTTATTAATGAAATTAAATATCGTTTGGCTTATTTTTAAGTTTTTGTACTGTTCTTTCTAGGTTTTACAAAGAGAATTGAAGGAAAACCAGGTTGGTGTCTCAGCTGTTTTCAGTCAAGTTATATCCAAATTACGCGCTCTTTACGCTATTTTACGATGAAAATACGGGAAAACTGACTTGATTTTGATTGTCAATTGCTTATGAATGAAATTTTTTCGCGTTGTGTCAGTTTTTGCACGGAACATTAGAAATATTGAAAAATTATTTTTTTGAAGCTTTTACCAAAAAGAATCGACTGGGAAGGCAGGGAACACGAAAGAAGTTATGAAAATTTGGTACGTTTTGAAAATGCCGTATTTTCATGTTTTTTGCATGTGACGTGCATCTATGTGTGTTTTTCACTGTTTTTGTTTCGTTTTGTTCTTCATTTACAACATTAATTATCTGAGAAGGCCAAAAATGTCACCATATTCGATTTTTCCTGTTTTTACACTTTGTAAAGTAATTTAGCATGGATTCTAATAAACATTTTCTGGGGAGATTATCATATCTTCAGTACAAGGTCATTTCTCTCTGATGTCACACGCCTTTTCATTTCTCTCGATTTTGATTGGCTGAACATTAGTTCAAAGGTAAGAAGTAGTCAAAGGGTTTGAATTCTTATTGGCTCTCATTGACATAATGCAGAGGTCAGAAAGGTTAAATTTTCTTTTCAGTAAGAGGTTCAAAAAAGGGAGTACTATTTTCTTTAAATAGATTTAATGTCCTTTGCAGAATATATATATAGATAATTTTTTAAATTGCTTGTTATTCTTTGCCTATTTATTATCCTCATTGACTTGCTATCATAATTCTATATAATTCAATTTTATATGAAATTTATATGGATCCTTTTCATTGTAAAAAAAAAAAGAAATTTAGAAAAGAAAGAAAGAAAAAAAAAGAAAAACCCAAAAAACTTAATCCACCTTTTTTTAAATGAATTTTTATTTTAGTTTAATTGTGTGTGTGAGTGTGTGTGTGTCTTTTAATTTTTTCCGCTTTACTTTTTAACCCCTTCCATGGCAAAGATTTTGAGCATTTCTAGACAAATTGATATTAAGATTTCAATGCATTTTTGGGAGTATTTCTGGTAATTGTTGTGTATACCAATGTATATATATTCTGAAAGCAGGTATTGTGTTGTTTCTGAAAATGATTATAAAAATTTCATTTCAGTTGCCATGGCAACGAAATACACCATAATCATGCTGGAATTTCCATTTATTAAATAATGAGTTTCATTCTAGTTTTTTGCTTAGTTAAATATATTAAAAAATATTTTATTGTTGTGTTGAAAATTATGAAGATGTTGTGCAACATATATTAAAAAAATATTTTATTGTTGTGTTGAAAAATTAACGTTTGGCGAAGTTTTTGTTGATTTTTTACAAACCAATTTTAAGTATTTTGCCAAATTATATCATTTTGCCCTGGGATGTAATCATCAGAATTTAGCATTTTTACATATAATGTGTTACCCCTGCATTGATTTCGACAATGGCAAAATCGCTCAAATAGTGCGCAAAGTTTTACTCAAGCTAGTAAAAAATTGGTACAGCCAATAAAAATATTTTCTGCTTAATATTTTACCGTATTTATTTTCTCTTTCCAACGGTGCAAGATTTATTCTGATATTTCCAGTATTAACGAAGTTATGAATGTTTTTTCACACTATCCTTGTTTTTCAAGTCAGATGCGTAGAAAAGCATATATGCCATGTAAGGGGTTAAATGATTAATTGACTTGGATTAACAGTTCAGTACTAGCAAATTTGTACATGTAATTGTATGCATTGTGTTTTATTTTCCGTAGGTGGAACTAAACAGGCACATTAAATCGGACCACCTATTGAAGATATGTCAGCGACTGGGGCCCCTCCTAGACAAAGAGGTCAAACCCAGTGTCTGTGGGGTCCAGTCTCTACTGGGGGCTGGAAGTCAGTCACTACTCAGGACAAAAGAGGGTAAGATGTAAAGCTAATGTCAAATACACAGCACATGTATATATAGATCTATAAACACATAATTTGTTATCATTAAAAAGAAAATAGCTTGATGTAATCAACTGAATATATCTCATAAAGGTGGGTTTGCCCCCCCCCCCCCCCCCCACAAAATGGAGAATACCATCAAATGCATGAATGTATTGACAAATGACAATGTATTAAAACTTCATTTTTATTGTTTGAATGAGATAATTGAAAATGTACACCTTTCCTTCACAGGTATAGAAAACCCAGTATGGACCCCACCCACCCATGCAGTCACTCATCATCAGCGCCCTCTATTCCCTCCAAAAAACCTTGTCTGTCCAGAGTTTGGTAGGTCTTAATTTCAGATTACATACAAGTTATGAACAATGAGTACTTGTTTTGACTTATTAATAAATTGTCAGAAATACATTAGATAGAAAGTTTTTTTTTTAAATTAAATTTGCAAAATCAATGCTTTCTATACTGAACGTAATATTATGTAATACTTTTAAACTGAATGTTATGTAATACTTTGTAGTTTAGTACGTAATATACTGTACTACTTGTAGTCTACGTGATGCGGGGAAGGGAGATGTGTGGACAAGCCCGCAATGACCACCTGTGTCCTAACCACTTCTACACCAAGGTCAGCATGCACGCTCGTAAGCTGGGGCACCTGTCAGCCGTGTACTGTGTGTCATTCGACAGGACAGGCCACTACATATTTACAGTAAGTTTATACACATATTGCTTAAAAAGTGTTTAACTGTGGCTCTCTTACGGCTCATGGAGAACCTTAATGTAGCTTTATATAATAATACTATTAGAATAATAAAAAAAAATTTCATTTATTCAGTAACATAGCCAGAGCATGAACTTTCAAAAGAATTTGATAGATTTTTTTGAGGCGCATCATTTTCGAGGCAACCTCATTGCGATCACCTGGCAATTCTTTCTTATCTAAACTGCGGTGGCAAAGGACTCAACAATATTGATTCTTAACACGTTATTAAAAATAGTGCTAATGTACATTGACAAGTTGGCGATATCCATTGTTATTTTTAAACAGCTAATAACATAAAATCTCACATATACATGTTGTTTTTACTTTGAATCAACAGAGGTTACAAAAAATGAGAAAATAAACAATTAAAACAAAGAGAGAAAACAACAACAAACGTGCCCTGCGCGGAGTAAGATCTATTTGCATAACAACAGCTCGTACTGTAAATTACTACGTTTTGTATCAGGTTCATAATAAACTGTATACCACGCCCGATTGCTTATTTTAGTCCCGTATAATTTACATGAACATTTCATGTATATAACATTTGTTATATATTGTGCCATTTATATTGGGAAAAAGTTAAAAACAAAGAGTGATATTTATAAAAGTGCACATAATGAAAGAAACTGAAATGATTCAGATATGAAATTATATAAATTTATTCAATAATCATTACTAGTAATTTCTATATTGACCTTCATTATTTCATCTTTCTAATAGTAAAAGAATAAAAATAAAAAAAGAATTAAAATACAATTGAAATCAATTATGATTTAATTTAAATATCAATTAATTATAACCGATATATCAGACAATCTTTTTAAAAAAAAAAGTTTTTCCTCTCCTGCACATGATCGATTGGCTAAAACTGAGAGCCATGGCTCAATTTTTTTAACCTCAAAGAAACGTTAGTTATTTCTTAAATTCTTATTCCTGGATTCTTTCATTCCCTTAACATTGATGTTGAATTTCTCTAAGAAAAAAAAAGTTTTATACCCTCAATGCGATGCGCCTCTCAGGCCGTCAGGCCTTTGATTTTAATTACATGTACATGTATTTATAATATGTTTGAGTTAGCCAGCTGCAATGTCATTGAGAGATGTAGAATATTATAGGTGTAAATTAATATCAAGGTTTTCTATAAACTCTGATGTATTGAATGAAGAATGTAATATTTGCAAATTAATATAATTTTCTTAAGAAAAATAATTTTGTTCCTTTCCACATTAGGGAGCTGATGATGCATTAATCAAAATCTGGAGAGCATGTAATGGACGACTAATGGCTACTCTCAGGGGACATAACTCTGAAATCACTGACATCGCTGTAAACTACGAGAACACACTGCTAGCCTCGGGAAGCTGTGATAAAACAATTAGAGTGTGGTGTCTGAGGACCAAGGCTCCCATAGCAGTACTACAGAGTCACACAGGGACCATCACCTCACTTCAGGTCAGTGGGGGAAGGGGGCTGGTAGAGGGGAGGATTATGTAGAGGTTTTTAAACATTTAAAGCAGAATGTTAGATTGTTATGTTTTTAGAAACAAATCAAGATGAATCCAATTTTTTAAAACATATTGTACACATAAACATAGGTATGAAGAACTTTTCCAGGTCTTTGTACTTATTTTTTCCCTTTTTTCAAGAAAGTATGTTTGATTGGTGTACAAATTGACAAGTTTTGTTCAAAATGAATATAAATACATTTTTTTCTTTTAGTTTTGTCCCCAGGCCAAGGGTGAGTCGCGGGTCCTGATGTCAACAGGAGGGGACGGCTGTGTCTGTTTCTGGGTCTGGGACGTGACCACCAACACATTCAAGTAAGAACTTGGCAGCATTCTGCTGATTATTAATGTAGCCTTTGACCACCAATACTTTCAAGTAACAATTCACCTACATTCTGATTGTTTTACTTGTGATATCAAAATTGATTGTTTTTCAATAGCTAATTTTATCTGCATTATCATTGAAGGTTTGAATCGAATTCTGGTGAACATAGTAAATGAATTGTATATTTTCTCCATTGCTTTATGATAAAGTAGAAAATTTCCAATTAATTAAACATAAAGAAGAGATATAAGGGCATGTTACTTGAGTACTTTACCATCTTTACCCAATTTACAGTGCTAAACCTCACAAGTTTATAGAGCGGTCGAGGGCCGGGGCCCAGATGTTGTGTTCCTCCTTCAGTCCGGGGGGCGTGTTCCTGGCCACAGGAAGTGCTGATCATGTGATCAGGGTTTACTTCCTGCACACCACAAAACCAGAGAAAATCTGTGAGCTGGAGTCCCACACAGTGAGTGATATGAAACTTTATAGATCTTACTCTGGAAGTTAAAGTTGATAGATTGTTCATTGTCTTTTCAAAAAATATATTTGGAATGTGTAATGTACATGAAATGCAATGTATAATTTGCAATCATAGAAAATCATTTGGTTCCATTTATTTGGCAATTTATAATCAAATGTTTTGATTGAAAAAATTCACAGAAAATTGTTAGTTGTAGGAATAACTTGTTATGAAGGCATTGCTTTTTATGGGGTAAAATATTCATTGTTTTCATGATTTGAAGAGACCTATAAAGTAAAGTCCTCACTGTAATCTTAAAATGTCTAAAACATACAACTCTACATTCTTTTTTGACTGTAGTAATAACTCTACCTTTAAAGTAAAAGTTGTTGAAATCAAGCTTTCACTTAAGCGAGATGTTTGCTCCTTGTAGGACAGAGTAGACAGTATTTGTTACTGTAACCATGGAGACAGGTTTGTCAGTGGGAGTAAGGATGGAACAGCCAGGATTTGGCGGTACGACAGACAGGAGTGGAAGGCCCTGGTCCTCTACATGAACACAACTCTAGAATGGTATGTATTGACACACAAATCTAATTAACCTTTCAAGGACCCTTTAAAAGCAAATTTAATTGAAATAGGAGAAAGGATATGTAATAAAGCAATGAAAATTTTGCTAGAAATTGATTATATTGCAGAACCATTAAGTTGTAAATAAAAAAAAAAAATCAGAGCATCACAAAGCTGTTGTATTGTGATTTTAGCTGCAATGAAACTGTATGATTTCTAGATTATTACCTTGAAAATTGTTATCTTTTACAATTCAGCACAAACAAAATAGATTTAGAAGACATTAAGAAATATTGTGTTACCATGGTATCCTGGAATATGGATGACTCCTTGGTGATTACTGCAGTCAATGATTTCTCTATCAAACTCTGGAATTCCAACACAGGCAAACTGGTTCATGTACTCAGGGTAGGTATCTTCTGAAATTAAACAGAATGATTTCAAGTGTACAATTTGACAATTTTTATACAAGAATCATTATAATTAATGCTCATAATCATTTCATGTGAAAAAAAGTGAAAATAGTAAATTTATTTTAGAATTTTGTTTAATAATGAGTTGATGCAGTAAAGATTTGGCATTATACATGTAATAACATATACATCTAAATTGTGCCCCGTATTTCACAGGACCATGAAGATGAGATTTTTGTGTTGGAGCATTGTCCTACAGAGCCCAGAATTATGTTGAGTGCCGGCCATGATGGAAATATTGTTATCTGGGACCTCATTAAAGGGGAGAAAATCAAGTCCTTCTTTAACATGGTAATTCAAAACATGTTAATTTTTGAATTGCATCCTTAACAGTAAATAGGACAGACACTAGAATGATCAGAGCTAAATTTATTAGAACATTTTTAGAGTTTATTCTTTCCTCTTTTTCAAAGGAAATATTTTTTCTTCTTTATTGGTATTGCTTACTATTGATAGCATTGTTTGTATCTGAATGTTTTAGATAGAGGGCCAGGGACATGGAGCCGTGTTTGACATTAAGTTTGCCCCAGACGGCCTGAGTTTCGCTGCCACAGACTCACATGGGCATCTGCTGCTGTTTGGATTCGGTTCCAACGAAAAGCATAAACAGGTACGGGTCATAATCAGGGGCTGCAATTTCAGTTGGATACTGTAAACCAACTATTATTCGTCTCATCTTTTATTCACAATATGTCAGTTTGAAATCAATCGGTGACGATTAATTTTCACAAATAAGGAGACATTTTCTACAAAAACAAAGCAAAATAAGTGGTTCACGGAGATAAATATTCGCAACTTAAAGTAGGTTTTGAAACCCGTGAATATTTCTCGCACGCCAATAAAAGTTGGTTTACAGTATATTTAAATTTATCTAATTTTGAAGTTTCAGTAGTATTTTAAAATTTCAGTTTTGATTATGAATGGTCACTTTCATTCAGTTCCTTAGAAAAATTAAACTGTTAACAGCTGTTATTAACATATTTTATGCATTTTTGTAGTCTTTTAAAATTGAGTTCCCTAGTAAGATTTTTTATAAATTAACAGGTCCCGGAGGAGGTTTTCTTTCACACTGATTACCGTCCGCTGATGCGGGATGCTAATAACTACGTCCTGGACGAGCAGACCCAGCAGCCTCCCCATCTCATGCCGCCGCCCTTCCTTGTGGACATTGACGGTAATCCCTACCCCCCAAGGTTCCAGAAGCTGGTACCGGGGAGGGAACACTGTAACAATGATCAGCTGATACCTCAGATGCAGGTCAATGAAGAAGGTATTGAATAGGATTCAATATCCACTCTATGTAGTCTCCTAATTATTGATTGATAGACTGACATTGAAATCTTTCACTTCATGAATTTATCATGATCTTAATGTGATTATCAATCCTGATAAAAATTCTTCACCAACATACATGTATTTACAACATTCATTCATTAGAAACAAACATATTTACATTTCATTTTGATAATAATGAAATTCTTGATGATTATGTACTCATCCTATACATTTATTGATGTGTTGCTGTTTATGGTGACCTCTGATTCCTTCAGGGTCTCAGGAGGTGGTAGGGGACCTTGATGCTCTGATAGAGGAGAACCACCCAGAGGAACCACCCCATGCCGAGCCCCTCCCCCCAGAACCGCTACCTCAGGACCACCGCCCAAGTATTGACAACATGATTGAACAGTTACAGAGAGAACAGGACCAGAGGATAGCCAGAGAGGGGCTGGAACCCCTAGGAAGTCCCCCACCCGCATTGGGGTCACCCAGAGTTCACAGGTCAAACTCAGGTCAGCATGCTTTGGCTTAATTGTTAGATTTACCATAGGCACAAGTCAGTACAATCTGGCCTGCCTGTATGTTTTGGGCTTCTGCATCATAAACTCTTTTTAAGTAACAAACTTGTGAGTTTCTTATCCGTAATTATTGTGTTGAAATGAAATTAGGTTAAAGATTTACATTTTGACTTCTTCTTCTTCTTTGATTATTGTAGTTGGCAATGTTGGGGGAAGGAGAATCGGTGAGAGGGAGGGAGTGCGGCAGTCCCTGGGTAATATTACCCAGAGAGCCACACAGTCAGACATCGCAGCCTGGAGTCGCAGAGTGGTTGTGAAAGAACTCGACACTGCTGCCTTATTGTAAGTTTGAATGTTAAACTCAATGTTTCAAAGAGGTTAGGCCGAGTTATTGTTTCTAATGGTATTTCTGTTCATTTTGATTGTTACTACTCATGCATGACTAGGTTGTGTATAATGTTTGCAGGAGAGATGAAGAACAGAGAATGGCCTATGCAAATGAGGAGGCAAAACATTTTATGGCAGAAAGAAAGAAAAAGCCCTGTCATTTTGATGTAAGACATATTTATGCTTGAAAAATATACATATAAAAATAAATAGATATTTGTGTAATTGAATATTTACATGGTAAATCCAATTTCGTAGGCTGAATCCAGTGACTCTGGATCTCACATTAAAACAAGACGTAAACACAAAAACCGGCGTGACAATGTGGGAAATCAGCGTGAGAATGAGGAGGTGGCGACTAATCGACTGGTGACGCGGGCTCTGTATGACACCGAGGAGGAAGAGGTAAACAGGCACTGTATTAACTGACGAGTCACTCAATAGACAGGGAATCTGTCTCTATCAATTTATCATAATTCTTGTTATTTATCAGCTAATTTTTTATTTTAATTCACGTTTGAAAAATGTTTTATCTGATGGAATTTTTCATCTGTAATCCAGATTTTCGAGATTACTAATTAAAATACTTAGATACATGTTTTCTTCTTTACCTTACAGGAGGAAGAAAATGCTGAGGCCTCTAACTCTGACGTTATGTTCAGCAGTGATGATAACGAAGATGGGTAAGATTAAAGAAAATTAGTTCAAATCTTGCATACTCTTTACAATAATATTTAGTCAATCTACAAATTTATTAAATTTATTTCTGTAGCATTCAATATAAATTTGAATTAACTGATGTGCAGTTTACTTTGTAAGCTATTTTGTATTTTTTGCTTGACAGGAGGAGGAAAATGCTGAGGCCTCAAACTCTGATGTCGTGTTCAGCAGTGATGATAACGACGATGGGTAAAGTGTATGTGTCTATTTGGTTAAAAAGACTTTGATCGTATTAATTAATCGTCGCGAAGAATGGTTTTTTGTAAATCGCATTTAATGTAAATTTTAGGTAATAAAAGTTGGTTTACAGTAATTTCCTGTTTCCCAGCAAAGCCTAATACATTGTAAGTATGAATTTTAAGATTACATTTTAGTCCAGAAGATAGTGAGTTTATTGCATCATGTTTATTTTTGGCACAGAGAGTCCAGTGAGTATTCTGACTGGGTGGGAGATGCTGGGGTCAGTCTCCAGCCCCCAAAACGCAAGTCCAAGCGACAGGTCAAACGACGTAAAATGTCGTCTTCAGAGGACGAGGAGGAGGTAGAGGTCGTAGACGATGATGATGACGATGACAACTTCGAGGAAGAGAGCACGCACGACTCGGCAAGGAGTTCCAGTAGTCGTCGACAACAGCCAAAGAGGAAAAAACCACCCCCACCCACCCGTAAAAAGCCATCGAAGAATAAACCAGTGAGATTGAATTTTTCTTGACCTCTCTGAACTAATCATCACCCTGTGTTTCTTTTTGTATCAATGTTCTGTCTTTAATAGAAGACTGTCACATTGCTTTAAGATTTACTTGTCCATGTGTAAACATGCAGATGAAGAGCAAAACAACCATGTGATTTTAAATAAGTATTGAAATGGATTTTAATAAGATGGGCAATTTTGGCAAGGTCCCCTTTTTCAAGCTTGGTGAACAAATCAAAAAAACAAAAAATAATTGAAAACCGTAATTTTGCCTAATGCTTGCAATTGGATCATAAAAATGTAATCTTAACACAACTTGTAAAAGTTGTTATCAGCCAAAATTACCTGCATACCATAATGTATTTCTCTATCTAATTCATTGCATTTTTTGCTACAGTGTATAGATTTTGAAAATTTTATGCACAGAGTTGTAGAAAGTGATTATTTTTAATGTAACATTGCACATTTGTAGCATCTAACTCTCACAATCTGTGTAACCCATTTTCATTCATCTATTTCATCCTGTTCTCAATATGTACATTTGTCAAATTATGATCTTGTGTATTATTGATCATCATGATCTGGTAAAATAAAAATAGTTCAATCAAATGTACAGTTTTATAACTGAGTGAGCATTAAAAAAAGCAATTATTTTATTATCCTTGAAAGACTTGCTTGAAATTTCCTTCTGAAAAGGTGTGCTGAAAAAAGGGTATTTGTATATATATCTTGCTGATTTATTTTCAGAGAAAAGAAAAGATCGTCAAAAAGATGGAGGATATTTCTGAACTTCCAGAAGAGTTTCGTCCTCCGGAATGGTTGACAGACGTCATTCCCAGGAAGTCTCCGTACGTGCCGCAGATGGGAGATGACGTCATGTACTTCAAACAGGGTCATGAACTTTACCTCCTCGCCGTGAAGAAACGCAATGTCTACAAATTTGATATACGCAAGAACCAGCCCTGGCACTTGAATCAAAACCTCAGGGTGAGACTTTAGATACCATTTATATTTCCATCATTTCTTGTCCAATTTGTCCAAGTGTACTTAATATAAATGTAAGGCATACAGTAACAGTCTAGAAAATCCGTGTAATTTTCTACCTGCGGACCAAACAGAAATTGAGATTTCGCGGAATTATGATTCCATGGAAAAAAGTGTGTCTACAGTATTTTGTGGGCAAGTACATGTACATCTGGATATGAAACAGGCCAAGAATTTTTTACAGCTTGATGTATGAAATGCGTCTTTCAGAATCATTTGATGATAGTGTCTTTTAATTTTAGTAACAGATATATGTGTATCAAGTATGAAATGAGTTTTAAAAAAATATCTTTTAAAATCATTTTACAAGAGAACTTTATAATTGTAGGAACAAGAACACATGAAGATTGTAGGAATCAAGTATGAAGTCCGTCCCCCTCGACTCTGCTGTCTTAAGATGGCTTACGTTGACCCGGAAACCGGGAAACCCACAAAGAACTCATTTACATTTAAGTGAGTGTGTACTGTCAGATTTTACCTGTATAATCAGTATGTACATGAATGTACTGTGTGTTTCTTACAAGGGTTAGATCTTTGAAATGGTAATTACTTGTATATCCATATGATGTACAAGTTTGTATATGTACAGCAACTGCAACTGCAGGCATTTTCTGTGGTTTGTTACCTGGTAACTAAAAAATGTAATGATTTTGATAATTGTCTGATTGAGTATCTTGTCAAAAACTCTGTTACTAATAAGCTTTATGATATTACAGGTACCATGATATGCCTGATGTCATCGATTTCATCGTTCTAAAACAGTCCTATGACACAGCTATGAGGAGAAAATGGAAAGCAGGTTTGTTTTCTGATAAAGTCAATATATTATAAATCTAAAGATTTACTATATTTGAAGGTGGACAGTATTTACCCATATACAGTATTTCTTTTAAGTTCTGATTTGATAATGAAATCTTGGCATACTTGATTTTTAAAAAGATGTTGCTTTCTAAAGGAAATTCAGAATATCCTGGTGTACATGTAAGATCGTATTTTATAAAGGTGACAGATTCCGTTCCATGATTGATGATGCCTGGTGGTTTGGGACCATTGTCAGTCAGAGTCCGTATGAAGCCATTTATCCTGATAGTATGTTCCAGTGCTTCATTGTCAAGTAAGTACATATATGTATGTGTATTGAAACCAATAAAGGCAGCAAACTGTGAAAAATCTTTGGTTATATTGGCACAATCTGTCGTTACTTGTCCATATGAAGAAACCTGTTGTACATATTTAATAGAAAGGATTATAAAATTAAGCTGCCTGTTTGTTGCAGTTGGGACAATGGAGAGACAGAGAGACTGAGTCCGTGGGACATGGAGCCTGTCGATCAAAATCGTAAGGCATTTATTCCAGCAGTATTTACATGTATTTTCTTGGAAAAATTGGAAATATTTTTGTTAGTTAGTGTAATTGATCATTCATACCAAAATAAACATTTGTCTGCACTGTTAATTAAATGTTCCATTTTTGAAATGTATTTACATATTGTAGCATTAAATTTCAATTCTAAACCGAATTTTTTTCCTTCTAAAAATTTGAAAATTAGGTATAAAGGAATAAAAACATGTCAGACATTTTGTGATTTTGTGTGTTGTTGATTAGATCTGCCAGCCCGTAACGAGTCCAGTGTACCCGTACAGCCGGAGGAGTTAGGGTCCCTGATGTACACCCCTGTGGAGGGGGAGTGGCCGTCGTGTGGGCGTGATGCTGAGTGTGACCGTATTGCCCACGGGATGGAGAGCATCATGCAGCATTCTATAGCAGAGCAGTTTCTGACACCGGTGGATCTCAATGTGTTCCCAATCTACGGCATCATCATAGAATACCTCATTGATCTCACCACCATCAAATCTCGACTAGAGAATAGATTCTACAGGTAAGATTGTTCATTCAAAATACATTTTACTCAAGTGACTTAGTGAAACTTGGATTTATTTTGTAAGATATGCATGTTAATGTAGGACAATATATTTATGATACTGATTCTCAGTAAATACTGTTTTGTACAGGAGAGTGAGTGCCCTGCAGTTTGACATTCGATATATTGAACACAATGCCAAGGCCTTCAATGAGCCAGGTACTCCCATTGTGAAAAGTGCCAGAATTGTTACAGAGGCCCTTCTCAGGTTTACCAGGTAATTCTCAGAATGTGTCTTATAATGAGTAAGGAGAATTTAAGTTTGTCTTTCTTTAAATGAGTTAGAGTTTATGTGTAATGCAGTAATACTTTCAGTATACTATACTTTACTGTTTCCAGTGATACTGATTGTACTGATCCTATGCCGATCTTGAATCAGCTGTGTCACCGAGAAAAAGTGGGGGGCGTGTCCTCTGGTAGTGAAACTGAAGATACCTCGGACAACAACAGGCTCAAGCATGTAAGTCAAACTGAAAGTTTGTAGTGGGAAGATTCATATTCTTTTTAAGTGTTACATTCACTGTTCATACATGTATATTTTTAGCTCTTCTGATCTTTGCTACCATTTGTGCGGTGTGCGGTGCGGTGTGCGTTAACTTTTTAGAATACACAAAGTGTCAAATTTGTCAAGGGTTCCTTGGCCCAACTTTATGCTAAAATAAGGGTTGGGACCTTGAATCAAGGGGAGATAATCAGGAAAACAAAACAAAAAGTACTGGTTGCTAAAAAATCTTCTTCTCCAGAATTTTAGATATACCATTACGTAATCAAAAAATTAAAAATTGTTCAAGGCATGACCCTGGGGCAAAGGGCGTGGTCTCAAGGTCACTTTAAAGTTGACCTAAATTTAGTTTAAAAATGTTCATATTTTGCTTACAATGGACTAGGATCATCAAATCTTGTAAGTTGATGCATCTTAGGACTTCACATCATGTTATCTGACTCAAAAGTAGGTCACGACCTATTTTTATGTCACATTTGTTTTCAAAGATTTAAAGATTTTGGATACTTTAAGTATATTTCAAACTTAGAAATTTGAAGTCACAATAACCGTGACCTAAAACTTTATATTAAAAACATTTACATTATCACACTGAAAGGTAGAATCATCAAATCAGTTGTTCTTTTAAAATATTTTCAAAAAGCTCACTGTGACCTACTTTTAGAATTTTGCAGGCATTAGTTTTCAAATAGTTTAAATAGCATATTTTGATTACCTAAACCTATGATCATAAACTTGGTCAGGAGATGCATCTGGCAATCAAAAAATGTCAACCAAAATGTAGGTCAACCTTTACATTTAAGTGAATTGGCTTAGACCAAACTTTGTGAGTTGATGCATCTTGGGTTTTTGGATAGTGGCAACCAAAAATTAGGTCACAGTGACCTTATTTCGACATTTTATGGCTATATTTAAGTATCTCCGATACTTATTGGCTTAGAATCATCAAACTTTGTCAGTTGATGCATCTTGGGTTTTAGAAACCATAGGTCACGGTGACCTAACATTTTATGTATATTTAAGTACTCTAGCTTTTTGGTTTAGAATCATAATATTTTGTCAAATTATGCACATTGGTTTTTTTTAGGTCATGGTGACCTATTTTGACCTATTTATTGGCTTAGAATTATCAAACTTGGTCAGCAGATGCATCTTGGGACTCTAAAAAATGTCAACCAAAATGAAGGTCACGATGACCTACTTTCAACATTTTATGGCTATATTTTAGTATTCTCCGGTACTTATTGGCTTATAAACTTTGTCAGTTGATGCATCTTGTTTTCGAACCAAAAAGTAGGTCACAGTGACCTACTTTTTGACATTTTATGGCTATATTTATCTATCTCTAGTACTTATCGATTTAGAATCATCATACTTTGTCAGTTGATGCATCTTGGATTTTCTGAGAATGTTGACCTAAAAGTAGGTTATGGTGACCTACTTTTGAATATCTCAGGTATTTATTGGCTTAGAATTATCAAACTTGGTCAGCAGATGCATCTTGGAGAATTGTCAACCAAAATGTAGGTCACGATTTCTACTTTCGACATTTTATGGCTATATTTAAGATCTTGGTACTTATTGTTAAGAATCATCATACTTTGTCAGTTGATGCATCTTGGGTTTTCTTTGTTGACCAAAGAGTAGGTCACAGTGACCTACTTTTGAATATCTCAGGTATTTATTGGCTTAGAATTATCAAACTTAGTCAGCAGATGCATCTTGGGACTCTGAAAAATGTTGACTAAAGTGTACGTCAAGATGACCTACTTTCGACATTTTATGGGTATATTTAAGTATCTTAGGTATTTATTGGCTTAGAATAATCAAACTTTGTCACTTGATGCATTTTGTGATGTCCAAAATGTAGACTGAAAAGTTTGTAATTGGCTAAGAATCATCAAACTTTGTCAGGTGATGCAACTTTTTTAATAGGATACTTAGGGTTAGAGGCTTCAAATACAAGTGATAAGTTGTACAATTTATCAGAAGAGCGATTCAAGGCCCTTGGGCCTCTTGTTTGAAATGCAGACTTTTGTTTATGAATGTAGTCAGATGATGACCAGCCAGGAACCAGCACAAGGAGAAAGTCAGCACCACCAGTCAATAAAACACCTGACTCCTGGAAATCCGAGTGCCTTAATCTTCTGGAGTCCGTATTCCAGTGTGAGGATTCTAGTCCATTCAGATTCCCAGTCGATCCAGATGAAATCCCGGTAAGCTTGAAACATTTGAAGACTCGTGCTGTAAAAATGTTGAAAATGCATTGATTATCAGACAAAGTAAAATGTCCCTGTGATACAATATGTATTTCATGACTGAAGTTTTGCTTTATCCTTAGGAATACTTTGACATCATTGAGCACCCGATGGATCTGTCCACCGTTAAGGAGAACCTACTGAGAGACAAGTACTCCAACCCTAACAGTCTGTTTAAAGACTTCAGACTTATATTCTCCAACTCCAGGACATTTAATACCAACAAACGCTCACGGGTAAGCCACTTCAAACCATGATCTCAATAACGCTGGGTAAAATGTTATTTATTTTCTGGAAACTAGAATTTATCTTTTGTCTATATTATTTAAATCTGACCTTGACTTTGTCTACATCATTTATAGATATATGTCATTGCATTGGGATTATTTGAACTTGACTTTGTTTAAATTTGCCATAACATTGAAGTTATCCAACCTTGACTTTTGAGATGCATGCCATGACATTGATATTTACTGACCTTGACCTCGTAGATACATGCCATGATATTTAAATTATTTGGCCTTAAATATGTAGATATATGCCTTGACATTGAGATTATTTGATCTTGACCTTGTAGATATGCCATGACATTGAGATTATTTTACCTTGACCTTGTAGATATATACCCTGTCATTGAAATTATCTGACCTTGACTTTGTAGATATATGCTATGACCTTGAGATTATCGGCCCTGATTGAGGAGAAAATGAAGGACATAATCAGTGGGTGGAATTCGGCTGTCAAACAGAAGAAGAGCTCCCCTCGTCTCTCCCAGAGTAACTACAGCTCCAAAACAGAAAGGTCAGTGTAGACACTCAAAGTCAGGTAATCAGTTTGTATGAATAAAGTCCCTTTGATTTATTATTTGAGATGAAGCACCAGCAAGGATTTTTATCTATAGTCTAAATGAAAGCAAACCTTTGCTAGAAATCAAGAAAATTGTATTTACTGTGAAATCTCCATGGGATATTTTAGTTCAAGGTGTAAAGAGATAAAATTGTCATAATTACCAGACTTGCCTAGTAATGTTCTTCACAGCCATGACTGTGTAACCTTTTCCTACTCACCATAAAATGTTAATATTGTCTTTGTGATACAGCAGCAGCAGGAGTTATAGGAACCAGCCTCGTAGAATGGCAGCAACAGCAGCGTCGTCCAATATCCGGGCCAGCTCTCTCCAAAGTGAGGCAGGACCCTCGACCTCTGGAGCCATGGAAACCACCAACTCTGACCTCAATACGTCTGCCACAACATTAGAGGTAGATGATTTTGAGGACGATGATGATGATGATTATGAACCAGTGAAACCTAGGACCTCCTCTCCCAGAAAAAGACCAGGTTAGTACACATAACTGTGTTTATCCTCACCAAGAAAAGGACAAGGTCAGTACACAGTTTTGATATGTATAAGTTATCCTCTCCCAGAAAAAATGCCAGGTCATATAACAGATATTTTGTTCAACATTAGAAAAGTATTAAAGTAAAAAAAATTCACTTAAAATAGTGAAACTGTTACATTTACAACATTTAAATCAGGGCATTCATTTAATATTTCAAAAAAGTTTGTGAATAAAAAAAATTTGGACTTTACAGTCTGTAATCTATTAAATTAACTTGGACTTTATTTTCTGTACTATTAACCATTAGCTTAGCGTTTATTTTCTGTACTATTAACTTCTGTTTATCTTCTCTGTAAAACCATTAAAGTACTTTATTTTTGTAAATTAACCATTAACTTGGACTTTATTTTCTGTTACTAAATACAAAAATTAACTTGGACTTTATTTTCTATACTATTAACCATTAACTTGGACTTTATTTTCTGTACTATTAACTGTTATCTTGGACTTTATTTTGTGTACAGTGAGGAAACCTGTACCCAAGCCTCCTGTAGAGAGTAACCACTTTGACTCAGACACAGAACTAGAGGAGGATCAAACAGAGAGTGAGGAGGAGGAGGTGGTCTGCAAGGTCAAAAGGTCAACCAGGAACAGAGAGGACAGTGACAATGAAGAACCAGCAGTTCGCAATGTTAAAAGGCCAACAAGGAATAGGGGTAAGACATAGAAATATCCTGTGATCATTTAACACAGACATCAGGTATTCCAGGCATTGTGCATTATGTCCTTTATACATATTTACTAAGAAATATTCGAAGGTTTATATTGGCCTTCTAAAAGAACAAGAAAGCATTTTAAAGTAATTTAATCATGATCTTAATATCGATGGACACATTCAGTATTAACATGCAATCTGTATGCATTCATATATTGTGAACAGAAATATGACTCAGGTAATCAAACTGCCAAGGAGCTCCTGGGAATTTTTTTAAAATAAAAATTTATTTGAGCTTTTGTAATCAAAATTATTTTGTTTTTTTTTTTAAACATTACCTCATTATTAACAGTAAAAAGGCCTCTGACAAATGGAAATGCAAGCAACCATTACACCACTCGGGCCTCTACAGGGTCAATCAAGGTCAAACACTTTAAGAAGAGTGGATCTTACTCTGAATCGGACACCCAGTGTAGTGACAATGAATCAGCTGAATCATCTAATGAGTCATCGTCAGATTCATCATCATCATCAGATTCTAAAACGGAGTCGGACTCAAAATCTAGTGACTCTGAAGAAAGCCCCATCACCCGGCCAAAGAGGATGGCTCCACGGTTACGGACTGAAGTTGACTCCAGTAGGAGCCAACCGAACAAATCGCGGGAGGGGAAGGGTAAAGCCAGTGCCTCGGGGTCTCGACAAACTCGTAATCAGGGAAAACGAACAGTTCGTTATGAGGAGGACAGTGACTTTGAGTACGGTGATGGTGCATCATCATCCTACAGGACTAAAAAACGGGCTCGTTATATTTCCCCGGAGGAAAACAGTGATACTGAGGAATCGGATGGAAATTCAGAGGTCATGAAAAGCAGTCGAGGTCGAATTAGAAAACTTACGCCCCGGGCCAGGGCTAACCTACGACATTAACGTCATAATAGGCATCAAGTGTTTACATTGCTCAATATGGAAGACATTAGTTCCAAATTCATGAATTGTTCCGATAAATATTTCTCATGGTAATCAAAATTTCGGCTGTACAATATCTACCAGTGCAGGGTGTTTTGAACTGCTGTGGTTTTTGTTAGACTATCTGTTACCTCAGTCAAGTGCACAACTTACTTTTACCTCAAGCAAGCTTAGTTTATTATCAAATCATTTCATACATTTTTCTTATTCTACAATGTTCTATGATTATTACTAACTTCATTTAGATTTTTATAGAATGCAATTTATGAACTGATAAAGAATTTTTAAGGATACTAGATACAAAACTTAGTAATATAGACAAAAATCTCCCAAGCTGCTATGCAGAAAAAATTTTGGATAAAAAATATGACCTATTATAATTACCCAAATACAACATACTCAGCAGCTATAGGGGAAATGTGTCATTTATATGAATTAACTTGTAAACTTCTTACATTTTCTCTATTCATCTGGTCTTCCATTACAAACATCATGTTCATTTTTCAAGCAGGAGATATTGCTACAACAGATGCAATAAAAATGTGCCAAATATCACCTTCATTTCACTGTATCATGTTTTGTAATAGAACTTCTATGCAAGTTCATAAAAAGTGCTTTCATCCTTGCTAGCAATTTTTTTTTAAGGTTCATAAACCCTCTGCTCACTCATATGAAATTTTTCTTTAACTTTTATGATTTTCCAATGATAAATGTACCGTATATGCTGAATAAAATAGAAACAGTTATAGCATGGCTTGCGGGGCAAAATTTGACAAAAAAGGCACGTAAACTTGACAAAGTTATAAAGGAATAATAGAAATTTGTGTCATTAAGAGTTATCTCTCTTATCAGAGTATCATTGTACCTTAATTGTCAAATCTGTATAAAATGATATTTGAATTAACTCAACATTATAAGCGATAAGGAATTTGCAACCTGTTTGAGAACTTCCTTTATTTCTTCTTCAAACCAAGAAAAATCTTTAATTTCATACAATTTGAAATATGTTTTCAAAAGTAGTAGGATTTAATAGGGGCTTTCTTTTGTGTGGAGAGTACTAAATGAAGAAAATTAAAGTTGTGTTTTCAGGTTTCAGGTATCCAAAAAAAACAAAACAAAACTATTTCCTATTTTGTAACTTACATCTACATCTTAGATTTATATGAAATATCAGAGATGTACTGGTATATTTGTGTAGTGTTGCAAAAAATTCTTAAGAATTTTGGCATTTTAACAAAAAAATGGTATTATAATCATATTTAGCCATTTTCCTTGAAATGCCACAATTCTCCATAACTAAAACCAATTTCACAAACCAAAGTTTTTGTTTTGTTCTGGATTATCTTTTTTACTCAAAATTATAATTTTTTGTGTATTTTTTTTTTCTGTAGATCCCACAAATTTTGAATCTGCTTTTTTCTCTAAAGACTCGAATGTTGTTTAATTCTAAATTATGTGGCTTTAATAAATAAAACTGAGAAATGAACTTTATGAATAAAAAATTTAAATAAAAGATACATTTTACAAACAATACATAACATTTTTTTCATGTAGATTGACATCTTAGTAAAACTTGATGCCTACTGGTTTATGTATTGTATTTTTTTTTTCCATGGAACACAATTCATTCACATTGATATTTGATCTCACTGCCTGAGTATATTGCCTGAATCCTAGCTAAGGGTGACTGCTGCTTGTATGGTGGACTGCTAGTGGATTGTGTACATTTTTTCTGTTATTTATGTGTTGAGACAGTTGTTGCTTTGTTATACATTTACAAACTTTTTGATAACATTTAAAGTACAATAAATAATGACTTAAAAGTGACTTGATGTCTTTTGTTAATGGATGTGAAATTTAAAAACAAAGACCTCCCCCCCTCCCCCCAAGTAAAAAGGATCAAATTTATATTCAAAATTTCTAATTATTGTGAAAATTATGTACCAGTCAGAGGCACACATTTATTGAAAGTGATCTCCAATAATGCTCATCACGAGGAGTAAGATCCTGTGTCCAATTTGACCTTGTGACCTCAAAATCAACACAATCATGTCATCTACTTCTTAGTGAAACAAATGAACCAAGCTTTATTTGTCTGCCAAGCAAAGGATTTTCAAGATACTGAGCAGTCAGTATTTTCCTCTTTTTGGTTATACATTGTGGCTCCTGAATCAGTAGAGGCCATTTCTCTTTGAGAGGAACAAATTAATGTACCAAAGTTTGATATTGGTCAGGCAAAGGTTTCTGTGAACCTATACAGTGTGACTGTGAACTTTAAATCAATAGGTGTAAGTTACTCTTTAGATAGAACCAGTACATGTATACCAGATTTGATGTCTTCTGAAAAGCAGATGATTCTTTAAAATATTGCATGAGAAGTCACTGTCTATCTGTCTCCATGTGACCCATGGTTTTGTGACCTCAAATCAAAGGTCATCTGCTACTTATGGGAAGACACTGTAACAAGTTAAAGATCTGTCAAGGAAAGGGATCCTAAGCAGACAATATTTTCCTATGTCCAAAATAGTATGACCTTCAAGCACATGGTTCTTAGAATATTGAGAATTCACTATCCAATTTCTGGTTTGACCCTCGGCTTTGTGACCTCAGCAAAATGGAGTCATATCCTTGTGGGGTGTCAAATAAGGGACCAAGTCAAAAGTATCTCACAGTAAAACTAGTATGGAAGAGTAATGGTTACACTGCATTCACAAAGTAACCTTCTGTCTCCAGATGCACCAAAGACATTAGGCCCCCTGCAGGTGAAACCAGAAGCGACTCTAAGTTTCGTCTGTGTCTGTCTCTCTGTACAGTTGTCTGTCTGTAACACTGTCATTTCCACATATCTCAAGACACCTTTGAGCATAGGAACTCCCTTTGATGGAAAGAAGACACATATTGCTCATGAGGTCAAAAGGTCAAGGTGATAAATAAAAAATTCTGTCAATTTTAATACTTTTGATTCTAGACAATATACATGTATCAAAAGGCCTTTGAACTTTTGCAATGACATTTTATACCACAACTCCCTATGGCCTGAGGAAGACACCTATTTATTTCTACAAATAGGAGACACGGATTCTCTGAATTAGCTTGTTCAAGTAGATATTATTACTGTGTTTATTAAATATAAAAGATATCATCAACATTTATTACATTTATTTTCTACCTGTACATTTTTACACCTGTATATACAATAAAACATCAAGTTTTCCCCAGCCCTGTTAATTTAGGTCTAATGGAGGCAAGGCTGATAAGAATAGCTTCTTCTGTACGAATAGTTCGACTTCCCTGGTTAGGGCAAGTGTTCATATAGTACTGAAACAACAGACTGGGGTCATCAATGTCCAGTGCTTCATCTGACTCCAGACTTGCCTCGAGTCCCTGTACACCACCGAATACAATCAGCGCATGACCAAAACTCTTGTCAATCTTCACATCGTCCACACACTCCCCTCTCTCGGACGTCCCTATAGTCAAGTCATAGCCGTCCTTGTACGGACACTCTGTAAATACTGCTCCAATACTTTTGGCGAGTCTGACAGAGTAGCCCCAGTATAGACCAGAATCTTCCCTCGGGGTGGACGGGGAGACAACCTGGCCCTTCAGTATCCTCCGCGATGAATCGTACTGGTTAATCCTCACAGTGACTCGAATTCCTGGCTGCAGAAGTTTGTCTATCTGTACATCTTGCTGAGAAAAAAAATTTGAAAGTGTATCAGTCTGTTTTGTTTATACATGTAACTTCCATGCCTTACTATTGAATTCAATTTTTACCTTTGTGATCTATCAATTTTAGTTACATGACATAATTCACACTCTTCTAAATTTCTAATACCCTATATGTAAAATTGGATATTTCAGGAGCAAAGCACTTGTGTTGGGGTTATCTTTGCAGAAGTCAACGAATCTACAAAGGGTATAGGTTTGTTGTTTAAGATGATTCTTTACAGGAAACTGTTTGCAGGGTGAATTTTGAGACACCATATTAATAACAGTAAAAATCCCCCTAAATATTGTGAAGTTTGCAGTCCTCTCTCCTCTTACCTTATATAACCCACAGTTGACCAGTGATCCTTTCCCCGCCTTGACTGGTTTATTCTGGACCACCCCCTCTCTGTACAACACTTCATCCTCTGCCCTCATGTGGTGGGGACTGTCTAGAGGGTTCAAGATCCCTGCATACTGGAGATCCTTGTGGTGCGGGAAGAAGGATTTCCTGAGGTACTGAGGACACTCCAGATACTGCAGGATCCGGGCCATCTGGACGTTAGCATGACCTTTCTTGCCCACTCCTTGGAATTCTCCCTCTATGGAGGACTCTTTAGAGAATATCTCATCAAAGATGATGATTTCATCAATGTTGAAGATCACAGCTGCTCTGGCAATCTGTAAGTAAGAATTAATTTCACTTTTGCAAATATTTTCTTAAAAGCTTTCTTACTGTCTGTATGGGAATAATCATTGCAGAGCACAGATGTTGTAGAAAAATACAGAAACTGTAAAAGCAAGTTTGGTATTATTTTTTCACATGAAATTCATGTGAAATTCCTGTCACTTGAGATGCAGGCATATAAGGCATTGTACATCTCTAGCAAAACACAAAGTATTTCCCTTCCATAAATACCCCCAACGATTTTACTTGAGATTCGCACAACTTCTGGCTTTGTTAATGCCCTGTTCACACGGAGAGTTAAATTCAAATTAAACGTAAAGTTACTGTGAATTAGCTTTGCTTAGTGTAACGTTCACATGGAGAATTTAATGCTAATTAGTTTAATTCGAATTAGTTTACTGTGCATTAAATTACTTCGCATTAGCTCCATGTAAACGCTAAGCGAAGCTAATTCGAATTAAATTCTGATGCATGCGTAATGGCAAAATTTAGTCAAATGCTACTTGTCAGTGGTCAGCTATAGGTACAGTACTTGTGGTATTTTTGAGTGAAAAACTAAGGAAAAGAACTTTATGCGGTATTAACCAATATTTGCCCCCCAAATCAAACTTTGATGGAGTAATATTTAATTAAGTCCTTAAACAGGGGAGTATATGCTGACTTCAAAGCACTGAATAATTTCATATTAAGTAATGACGTCATATGTACGTAATGACGTCACAAATATGACGTAAATTTCAGTTTTTTATGAATTTTACAGAAAAATGTACATATTTCGTCGATATTTTATATAAAAGTCACCGAGCGCATGTGTGTTCAGGATAAATATTTTGATATAATGTGTAGAATGATAATATCAATGAAATATGTCAATATTGTTCCTGAACACACATGCGCTCTATAACTTTAAAAGCTAAAATTGTTGAAATATTGTCCATTTTGTCCTTTTTCTGAAAAAGGATATAAAATCAGACTACAGTCGTGTGCCAAAAGTGAAGATAATTTTATTTTTTCTCTATATATTTCATTGAAAACTACATTTTTTAAAATCACTGGTATGACAACATTTCTTGACAGATTTTATCACAAATTTCATGGTAATCCAATAAATTGTTGTAGTTGATATAAGCAATATTTTTTATCTGATCAGTATTGATATTTTAAAAATATTGTAATTTTACTGCGACATGAATTTTTAAGTCACATACTCACAATGAATTATATAGTCAACGTTGAT